CCCCAAAACCCCAAAACCCCAAAACCCCAAAACCCCGGGGATAAGGATTATGGTTGAGAGGGTATACAATAATGATATGGGAGATGAAGGATAAATAGTAACAAAAGCAGTTGAAAGAGTGCAAGATCAAAGGGAATCTTGCTGCAATGATGGAAAAGAGAGGTGAGAGGATTGGGGCTGAGAAATGAAGGATCGATGAAGCTGGTGGTTTAGTTGATACCAGTTTTGAGAAGATTTACATACTAAAGATAGTCTCAAGTTTTGATAAAGTGTAGTATATGGAGAGAGTCATATGGATATAATCAGGAGAGGTAATGGAGAGTGTTCTACAGAATTATAATAAATAGAATTCTCAAGCTCATTCCATAACTTTTAGCTATCATCTTTCCTTGTCTATACTCATCTTTATTCGTAAAAACTCGCTTGATTAATATGATAATTAAAATGAGAGTAAACTGTATAAATTTTTAACTTACTCACATATTTTCAATTTTTTCCTCTCCTAAATTTCTGAGCTTTAAAATGTAGTAGGAAAGAGATTAGAGCCTTCCATACCAGTCCTGTGACTTTGTCTAATCATAATAAACTTACCAAATGAAACTTTAAAATAATAAAGAAATTAGAGTACTTTCATAATAAAAATTGCCAGATTCATCAGCTTTCAGAGTGTAAAGCCAGATAATTTTCTGTTTTAAGCACTTCAGATATTTCTTCATATAATATAGACAGCATAAAAGACATTTTTTCATCATTCCTATGTGGCAGTATTCCCAAAACAGCCTCTTGGGCTGCTCACGTTTTGGTGCAAACAATAAACTGTTCTTATATGAAATAATAATTTTCCATGAAAAAGTTGACAAGAAGTGTACATAAAATTTCCTCAAATTACTCCTAAATATCTGTTTGCTAATTATTTAAAGTGTTATTCTACTTTTTACGGTATAAGGAATAAACATGGCTTGTCATAAGTACTTTAAGAGATAAGTTTTATAATTACTCACTAGGAGGGCTCTGCATCCTTCCTCACTATACGTTTGTGCAAGGGAAGGTCTTCAACGGTGTTCTTTGAATATGCTCTGAAAGCTTCCTGGCTATCACAGCTCTTCAGCATCTTTTTATTTCTTATCTGAGCTGCGTATTTTAAGAGGTTACTAATCTCTTGCTTCAGAGATGTGCTCGATTTTTTATAACTAGCTTGGAACACAGCATTTTTTACTCTTCTTTCGTTCTCCGATGAGACAAGCTTTTGTTTATTTAACCCGAGCCGAGGTGGCTCTTCAAGTTCTTTCTCTCCCTCTTGGAAATGAACTAATGCGTTATCATTCATGTAAGAATTTTTTCTAATTTTCTTGTTGGTTAATGAGTTCTGACTCATATTAATAAGAATCTTTGCTGAACTCCGGATTCAACAAGTAGTGACCTTCTCATTGAGAAGATCATCTGATAGGTTTTCGTCAAATTGGATTTTTTGAGTAGAGTCCATAATTAAATATATTTATCTAATAATTATCTTACGGTATTTTAATAACTCCATGGGGTTTTGGGGTTTTGGGGTTTTGGGGTTTTGGGGTTTTGGGG